CAGGGGACAATTGGCAATGTCCAGAGGCATTTTTGTTTGTCACATGAGGGAGATAGGCTGCTACTGGCACCCAGTCGGTAGAGGTTAGGGAGGCTGATAAACATCCTACAATGCACAGGACTGCCTCCTACAATAAAGAATTATCCAGCCCAAAATGTCAATAGTGCCAGGGTTGAGAAACCTGGGTGTAGACAATGATCACCATCAATTACTAACATCACAAAAATACCCACCATTGTATACCTCCTGATAGAAGTACTAAAACCAAATATAAATTAGTTTTACCAAAATAACCAAATCTAAATCTGATTAAGCCTCTAAACACCAATTTCCATGAAATACAGGGGACTGTGGGAAATGCTAAACTACACCAGAAGGAGCTCAGCAAAATTCAGACTTTGAGAAACTCCATAAGACAAATGACCTGGTTTCTAAGAAAAAAAGTAAGGGAAAAAAGATGAAGGATGGACTTAAAGACTTAGAAAGATTTAAGAGACAAATCAGCTGCAAAATATGGACCTTATTTAGATTTTGATTCTAATAAACAATTTTTAAAAACCAAACATAAGACAACGACAGGGAAAATGTGAACAACTGGATACTTGATGATACTAAGGAATTACTGTTCTTATTTTAGGTGTGACAATGATGCTGTGATTTTGTTTTAAAAAAGAATCCTGAGGCCGGCCCGTGGCTCACTTGGGAGAGTGTGGTGCTGACAACACCAAGTCAAGTGTTAAGATCCCCTTACCGATCATCTTTAAAAGTAAAATAAAATAAAATAAAAAAGAATCCTTATCTTTTAGAGATAGCATAATGAAATATTTACTAATGAACTGGTATAATGTCAGAAATATGCACCAAATAATTGGGTGGGAGGAGTGGACAGTGGTATAGATGAGACAAGACTGGCCATGAACAGCTCATTGAAAAATCACTGACATAGAAGGTGCAGAAAAGCAGGTACTTTCACCTTGACCAGGTCATATGGCAAAGGTACAACTGAGACATGGGTAAGTGATTCTGCAATATGTGTCATCCATAAAATCGATTTACTAACCCAAGGTAAATAAGGCATCATTATCCTATTTTCTGGGTTTTTTATATATGTATGTGTGTGACATCTTCCATCACAAAAAGTTTTAAAAACAGCAACAACAAAAGGATCCTCTAATAGCTTAATTCAATGGACATTTAAAACTACTTATTTTAGCAGACATCCCTCCCCCCCCCCCCCCCCC